GAATTAAAAGTGTGTGAGTTACCATTACCATCTGTAACTTCAACTAGCAGTAGTGAAGATGATGGCAATGGGAATGTTCCTGGTTCTTCTATGGATACTGAATTTCACACCTCTGTGAGTGACCTACAAACATTGAATAAGTCTTTGAAACTAATAGGTGAATCACCTGTTGACAAAAAACGACTACAAAGGGACAAGTATGTGAAAGGTAAGACACGGAAAATTGGTGAAAGTGTCAAGAAAAAGTTAGAAACTACTATGGGTATGTCAATGATCGAATTCCAAAATGATGGTCAGGAGATGATTCAGCAACTGAAAGACAAATTTAAATCAACTGACAGAAGAAGTGAAAAGCTTCATGTGCTGACAATTTTACCAAAAAGCTGGACAATTCAGAAGATCCAAGATGAATTTTGTACATCGAACTATACTGAAAGAAAAGCCAAGACATTGGTAAGGAAACAAGGAATTCTAGCAATGCCTAACCCCAAGTCAGGTAAATCTATTTCTAAAGAAACTGGGGAAGCCGTCGTACAATTCTATTTGTCAGAGCATATTAGCAGGCAAATGCCTGGTATGAAAGACTATGTGTCTGTGCTTGTGGATGGGAAAAAACAGCATCTACAAAAGCATTTGGTTCTTTGCAATCTTAGAGAGGCTTATGAACAATTTAAGGAGACGCATCTAGACAGCAAAATTGGTTTTTCTAAATTTGCGGAATTGCGCCCAAGGCAGTGTGTACTAGCAGGAGCAAGTGGTACGCATTCAGTTTGTGTATGTACAATCCATCAAAATGTAAAACTCATGTTCACAGGAGCAAAATTTAAACATTATCGTCACTGTCTTGCAGCTATGATGTGCAATCCTCCACACATCAATTGCTTTCTTAGCAAGTGTAATGCATGTCCAGACATTAGTAATATTCGTAAAAAACTTAAAAAGTATATGGAAGACAACATGATTGACCAGATCGAATATAAACAGTGGACTTCAACTGACCGCTCAAATCTTGAGTCCAAAGTTCAAACTGTTTCAGACTTTCTTGACTCATTTGTAAGTGGTCTTCAAAAATTATTACCTCATGATTTCATTGCAAAGCAACAAGCGGGTTACCTCCAAGATTTAAGGAGTACACTTGAACCAGGAATAGTCTTTGTCATTGCAGATTTTGCTGAAAATTACAGCTTTGTAGTACAGGACGCTTCTCAGTCTTTTCATTGGAACAATCTGCAAGCAACACTTCATCCCTTTGTATGTTACTACCGGGGAAACATGGAAGATGAAATTGACCATACAAGTTCTGTGATTATATCAGAATGTAACACACATGATACTGTGGCAGTTCACCTTTTTCAAAAATTGCTCATACAGTTTTTAACAGACACACTTAGACATGTTAAGAAAATATGCTATTTTTCTGACGGCTGTGCTGCACAGTATAAAAATAGAAAAAACTTTTTAAATTTGTGCCTCCATGAAGAAGACTTTGGTGTTCAAGCTGAATGGCACTTCTTTGCCACCTCGCATGGAAAGGGACCATCTGATGGTGTTGGGGGGACAATAAAGCGG